CACACACACGCGCTCGCGCACACACACACACACACACACACACACATGCTCGCACGCACACACTCACGAGGGTGCCCACCAGTGCACTCGTGCACATATGCACGCACACACGATGAGCAACAGTCGGAACGGGCCGAAAATGAACGAAAGCTAAAGATACAAACAATTTTTTTTCCCACCCATTTCCTCCTCCCACCCCTTGCAGTCAACTTGGGACCAGTTCGCTGGCTCCCAGTCGATTCTGATTGGCACCCCTGCCTTAAAATCAGAGATAATTCGCTGACTATCTTAGCGCCGTTGTTTGCTCATGAGCAGTGATGCAGTCATCTGATTGGCTGCCCTCTATGTCATTCAAGTAACGGGATTGATAATAGGCTGACGTAGTACATTCTTGTGTGGTTAGCACCTTCGTTTGAATGGCATCGCCACTGCCGAGGCGCTTTCGACGCTTGTCGTGTGAAAGCCCGGGAGCCGCATTGAACCAGCCAAAGAGCCACATGCGGCTCGCGAGCCGCGGGTTGGCCACCCCTGTCATAAAACATATAATACCAATTTAGGGCAATAGCATGTACATAATAAAGACAAGTCAAATATATTCTTCTCTTTCATCTGCAGTGACTACCTGACCGACTCGAACATGTGGTCAAAATGTATCGAGCCAGTTGGTGTGGTGTCATGGCATCTCTCGCTGTTCTCCGTTCTGCTTGTCATGGGTTTAATCCAGATTGCGCTTTGCGCTGTGCAAGTGATAAATGGGCTGCTGGGAGCTCTATGTGGTGACTGCTGTGGCTGTTGTGGTGCGGTTAGTATGTTATTTTTTTTATCTACAAAGTACACTAGACACTAAAGATTTTTGAAAGTATGTTCATTAATCTTGATATTCACATTATTGTATTTCCGTGATATTTGTGACATAATTAAAATGGTAACAGCATGTGGGTTTGTCTTTTCGGTCAGAGCTCTTGAGAAGTTTAATCATGTTTGTATTTCAGAATGACGGAGCTGTGTGAACAGTTGTCGTGGCTGAGATCATCTTTGGACAGAAATTTCCTCTGTATTTATTCTATTTTTAGAGTTTAGCAAAAAGACTAATTGATTACAGTGTAATGTATATGATGTCACAACATTGTTAAGAATTTATAACTGGTGTAATGTATGTTATTTTTAATTGCTTATTTGCTGTGCGATATAATTGATATTTTGAATTAATGAAAAATAAATGTTATTTTTTTACATGCATAATGCATGACTCTGCCAGTCTCAAAAAGCAAGCCATATGACCTAATACATCTTGATTCTTGGAGGAAACTTGTTATGACTGTCCCCTGGTGTTCACTTTTGGTGTTGCTGGTATAATTTGTGAGTGTTTGCACCTAATGGAAATCATCATATGTGTTCAAGCACCAGCAAGTTGCACAAAATAAAAATATGTTTCCATTAATTGAAGTTGGTTCATATTTAAATGAGGGTCGGGACCTCAGAGTTTTCCTGGTGGCGAGGCTGTGGCGGTGGTATGTGTGTGTGAGCGGGGGAGGATATGATCCAGTGCTGCCACGCCCTCTTCCTATTATACAGCTTTCTACTTTAGTTTGGCTCATGTTTTGAAACAGAGATGACATTCTCAAAATAATATGGACAAATCTCCAAACCACCTTACAATCCTTCACAACAGGATGTCATTTGTCATTGATTTCATCAAATTGCAAATGTCTTAGTAGCCTCAAGTTTCTCAGTGCATTTTTGCAAATGATTATGGTGGTGAACAAGCAACCTACAGTTAGCACAATGAGACCACATTTGGCACATTTTCCAAATAAATATATCTGGCTAATTTAAATCTTATTAGTTATCAGTCCCATGGTTCTTCTCTCCAAATTGTATAAGTCATTACATGCACAACAGTCTGCCAAAATTAGTCAAGAACACAACACCATAAACACTGTATATGAATTCATTTGAACATTTGACAAATGCTCATGAAATGGAGCTACTACCACCATACTATCCTTTCCTCAATCCAAGGATTATTTTCCCCGCTTGGATGAGGAGAGTGTACAAACATCTGGCTCTGGATCCTGCTCCATACAATGGATGCAGCCTGCGAGGACATCCCAGGGGATCGGTGTAGGTGTTGGGTTCAGACATCCGTGCCATTTCTTTCGTTGTTGCATCGCAAAGTAGCCAATAAAAATGGTTCCAATTTCCTTGGCAGTATGAGTGCAGTGTGCTTGATGTCAAACTTTGGAGGCTGATTTTACTGTGAACCATCCATCCTTGCATTTTCAACACTGCTTTCTCTGAACAGGGTCGCGGGAAGCTGCTGGAGCTTATCCCAGCTGATTTCGGGCGGAAGGCAGACTACACCCTGAACTGGTCGGCAGTCAGTTGCAGGGCACATATAGAGACAAACGCCCATTCACATCCGTCACTGAGTCAGAACCGATCCCATACTGCCCACACACAAGTGTACCACTACACCATTAGCGCCCCCCCCCCTCAAAAAAAAAAAAAAGCACGGAGCATGGTTTTATTGTGTTTTGGGGCTGGCCTTGCTGGTGTCACCAGCAAGAGCAACACAGCAGCAAAACAAAACAGCCAAAAACAGCTACCTCATCCTACCGAGCCACAGCCACCCAACAATAGCAACATGCTCTTCATTGTTACCCTGCTGGTAGCTGGTGCCACCAGCAAAACCAGTTGCTCAGCAGTTATCACCAGTTCTAGGCTGAGCCCCAGCAACATGCTGGTCCTACAGGGCGGCTGTAGCTCAGTGCATAGAACATTTTGTCTCGTGACTGAACGTTCGGCTGTTTGAATCTTGGCAGTTTTGTTTTGCTTTTGGTGCTGCTGTTTTGCTTTTGCTGTTGACACCAGCAAGAGCACCACAAAAACCCAACAAAACCATGCTGGTCTATGCTGAAAAAAAATTAGCATGTTTATCTGTGCATAGTATTTTGATCCAGCTTTATTGGATCTAATTACAGTAAACTTTAATCAAAGGTAGCTTTATCTGCTCCTAAATGCATTTTTGATGCTGATTCAAAAGGAAAAGTCTTCATTTTTTTCCCCAGAACATCAGGTTTTTGAGAAATTTCCTTTTTTGTTTGTTTGTTTTTAAGTTTAACCTGCAAAAGCTGGGGCGATACACCTTTTACCATGCTTTGTAATTTATAGTGATGTTTCAGAAAAAAAAAATCACTTGCTGCTGACCCTAACCCTAAATTCATAAATATTACTGAATATATTATTATTAGCAAAAACAATAATCATCATAATAGTACTACTGTAATAAATGTGCTAGAGAAAAAACGACGGCAGATTCGTAGTCAAAAAAACATCTACAAAAGATTACTTGGGTCTTAAAAAATGTCAAAATGTGTTGATTAGTGTTATTTGTATATCAGAATATGGTAAATTAGTGCATACTATAACATTGCATTGATATTGTATAATCGTTAAGAAACCATGTGACAATTGAAATTTATTTTTTTTAATTAAATGTAAGATTAAGGGGCGAAAAAAAGCTTTAAAATCAGCGAAAAAAATCACTTCTACTAAATGAAACGCTTTATTTACTTCAGCATCTGAATTTATAAATGATCTTATCGCTTTACTTTGATTAATATTTTATTAATTCTCGTAGTTTGTGTTTCGCTCTGTTCTGTTCTCTCTAAACAGAGTGGACGGTTAAGGCTTCTTGCTTGTCTTTAATAGGCACAACACAGGAAGCACATGGATGGAACTCACTCTCGTAACATCGGGGAGAACACACGTCACTTTCGGTTCCTTCACCCAAAGCTGTCCCTCTAGCAACAACTCAATCTACCAATACTATTTTTACAGTTTGCGAGTTTTCCTTCGTTATTTTTGGGGAACTCTGTTTTCGACAACCTGTTTGACACGGAAGTTTTTGACATCGGACGTATTTTGTCCTGTCCTACCTTGGTCCAATCCGATGTGTGTCACCGAAAGTAAGCAACGTTATGGTCGTGGTAACGCTGTAATGTGACGATTTTGGACTCAGTCAGAGGTAATTTTGTCTTTCTTGATTACCGTACTGTTTCAACTTTGAAATGAACAATTGAGAACTGACGGAAATGCGCCATGTATACGGTCATATCGTTTAGAAAACCCAGGCTGTTTGAACTCATCGAGTTTTTTAAAACACTCTTAATTTTTTTTATGTGATGTCGACCTGGTAAATAAAATTGCAAATGATTTGAAGCTTTTTATTTTGAATTTCAAACAAGGCATCATAATCGTATCGATTTATTTTTAATGGGCATTAGGTGTTTTTTGTTGCATTTCATCTGCATTCATATAATAAATTATGTAACCTTAATTGTGCATATTTATGTGTTTAACCGAATGGGTGGTCTGTTTACATCTTTCTTTAGATGCTGTCTGTTAAGTTAAGAAAAAGCATCGTAACTGCCCAGAAGGTATATACAATTTGTGGTACTTCTTTGGTATGTGTATGAGAGTTGGAAATGTAAAATTTTGACCTGGATATATCTTTTCTCAGCTGTTGCACTTGGCACGACCCACACCAAAATGTTGGCCATTGGCACTTATCAGGGTTACTGATGGTGGATCAGATCCTCAACATGTCAGCCGGCCCTCCTTCGCCAGGCCACCAACAGAATGGCCTCGGGATTCCTGGGACAAGTATTGCCCTGGCGTCGGTGCATCTGTGAGGACCGGGATCTTTTCGAGCACCCCATTTCATGCACTGGCTTTTATTGCGAGGAATCAATATTTCCATACATCTGCTGCGAGGCTCAAGAAGCGACAACAGACTGAACCTCCTCCCAGAGAGCTGGACCTGCTGCGTTATGACATGAAGGACTTTTGGAAGAGTCCCAAACCAGCTCTGTGGCTTGGGTTTGCAGGACTGATCCCCTTTGTTGCCCCTCCTCTCTTCATGGGTGTGACTGAAAGTTACCTTCCCGAGTTTGCCTCTATTCAATTGGCCTACAGCGTCTCCATCGTTTCCTTCCTGGGCGGAGCTCGTTGGGGGTACGCCCTACCTGAGAGCAGCCCGGCCAAACCTGACTGGATAAACCTGAGCAACAGTGTGGTTCCTTCACTCTTAGCTTGGGTTACCATGCTCATGGCTGACAGCATTGTTCCTGCAGTGACCATGGTTATCATGGCGCTGGGAATCTCGCTTCACTATGATCTGTCACTGTTGCCCACTTACCCAAACTGGTTTAAAGCACTGCGTGCTGTCTTGACAATTGTGGCGTTTTTCTCCCTAGTTGGTACACTCGTTGCACATGGAATGTACCCAGAGAAGAAAATGTTTTCAGAGTAAGAAATCCTGCAGTTTGCAGACAGTGTTGACGTTTTGCTGAAAGAACAATTCATGTCATTATTGTATTTTGAGTGAAAACTGAAATGGCATTAAACGATTTGAGATGGTTTTGGAGTTTGACACAATTGCTTGAACATACGGTGCATTTGAAATGTAACCAAATAAATGAACAAAATAAAATGGAAAAAATATAGAGGAAAGGTGGTTGCGTCCCTTAACTTCCACACAGTGCACTAAGCATTCTTGATTATAAATGTGAGTATATAAATATAATACAAAGGATTATAAATGTGTGTACATAATGATTAATATATCTTTATTAAAAGCATAAGCGTTCTTCATTGCAGGCATAGTCAATTAATCATTGCAGGCATAAGCGTTAATCTTTGCAAGCATCATCAATTTATCATTGCAGGCATAAGCTTTCTTCTTTGCGAGCATAATCAATCAATCAATCAATCAATATCAAAATAACAATAATAACATTAATAATAAGCGAATGTATGATAACTAAAAATAATCAATCTATCACATGTCCTTTCGAGTATACAACTTTTGCACAATACAGTCACTGTTACATCTTCAAAGGCTGGTTAAGACAAGTTGGGAGCAGTGACATCATTGAGGTAAATGACATTATCTAAGATGGAATCTAGAGTACCGGTAATCACTACTTAAAGCTTTTGTGCTCCAGTGCACCCTGTGAAAAAAATCTGGTTCAGTGATGTGTGTAACATGTTAAATTCATAATCACATGCAATTTATGTGTTCTCTCGTGACAAAATGCAAATCGGATCCAGTCGAAGAACGATTATCAGTTCTTCAGTTCTCCCACATGTATCGGTCAGTTTGGAATGTTGTGCACATGAATAGAATGGAGCGTGATGTGAGTTTTTATGGTTTTGAGTTAATCGCCCCCAAAAAAATCAAAATGCAATTTTAGCGGAGGCTTGAGGTTTCACTAAAATAGAACGCTCCCCGGTTTGGGTTTACAGCCTTTTTAATGTAGAATACATTATTGAGAAAAATATTTAAAAACTAACACAGTAAAAGTAAATATGGCCTTAATTTTTAATACTCGGTAATAGCTTGAAGTTTTCAAGTAGCACATTTTCCAGGTCAGAGGTAATTGGTATCAGACAGGTCCAACCCTGTTTCTGTGGTCCACGGAGAAGAAAAGGGGCCTTCCTTGCATGTTTTGACAACGTTGAATGAATAAAATTCTCTGAAATATACAAATGAGATTAAAGATGTGGTGGTGGGGGGGGGGGGGACTCGACAACGTTCAATGAATAAAATTCTCTCAAATATACAAATGAGATTAAAGATGTGGGGGGGGGGGACTCAGGAGTCCAACCCAATCCATGTATTACAGTGTTGTCTGGCCATATTGCATATTTTTTTTAATCATGTTGTCAGGTTTATCCAATTTGACACTCAGGAATAAAACACAAGGAGGAGACAGGAGACTCAATTCTGGTACCAGGAGGGAACGAGGAGAAGCGTTCGGTTTCAGTTCTCGGCATGTCACCCCTCCCGATCTCCCCCTTCACCTCCTTATTTATTGGGAAATCTACTACATAGGTGTGTCCAACCTAAAGGGTGGGGGAGGTTGAAGACACACTGAACTTGTTTGACTGTGAGTGTAAATTACGCACATGTGTGCAATTGTTACAAAAACATCACGTTGCAGCTGGTGTTGATGGCTCCATTCACTGTCCAACCTTGCTCCTGTTTAGTCTTAACACTTATCTCTTCCCAACCACGTCCTCGGAAAGGTGGTTGCGTCCCTAAACTTCCACACAGTGCACTAAGCATTCTTGATTATAAATGTGAGTACATAATGATTAATATATTTTTATTAGAAGCATAAGCGTTCTTCATTGCAGGCATAGTCAATTAATGATTGCAGGCATAAGCGTTCATCTTTGCAAGCATAATCAATTTATCATTGCGTATTTTTTTTTCCAACCATATTGATTTTACTTTTAAATTGCTTCTCGATAAATAGTTGTGTCTGTGGAGTTCCTGCCCCCGCCCCCAAGCGTGAATTTACACAACCAAATAAATCTCGAAGCATTTTTTTTTTCAACCATATTGAGTTTACTTTTAAATTGCTTCTCTATAAATAGTTGTGTCTGTGGAGTTCCTGCCCCGCCCCCAAGCGTGAATTTACACAACCAAATAAATCTCGAAGCCTTTTTTTTTTATAATAATAAATCTCGAAGTCTCCGCATCCTACCGGTAATCACTACTTAAAGCTTTTGTGCTCCAGTGCACCCTGTGAAAAAAATCTGGTTCAGTGATGTGTGTAACATGTTAAATTCATAATCACATGCAATTTATGTGTTCTCTCGTGACAAAATGCAAATCGGATCCAGTCGAAGAACGATAATCAGATATTCAGTTCTCCTCCATCGGATCCAGTCGAAGAACGATTATCAGTTCTTCAGTTCTCCCACATGTATCGGTCAGTTTGGAATGTTGTGCACATGAATAGAATGGAGCGTGATGTGAGTTTTTATGGTTTTGAGTTAATCGCCCCCAAAAAAATCAAAATGCAATTTTAGCGGAGGCTTGAGGTTTCACTAAAATAGAACGCTCCCCGGTTTGGGTTTACAGCCTTTTTAATGTAGAATACATTATTGAGAAAAATATTTAAAAACTAACACAGTAAAAGTAA